AAGGAAAACTGCCTGAAATAAAATTAATTCGACAGAAAATAAAAACACTGCATTATTTTTTAAATGATTATCTTATTTCAATTTGATACTGTTCCAGTGGGCATTATTTTCTCATTCACGGGCAATTTTTCGATATAATCAAGGGCGTAATTGGTAGAAATGAAATTATCTACCCTTTTATCTGTTATTGTGATGATAAGCTCACACCTGACAGCTTGAAATTGTTAAATTATTATACACATTTTGTAATTTAAGAAATTAAATTACTAATTGATAAAAAAGTATGGCATTGTATCATTTCTATTCCAAAACATATTCTATAAACTATATTTCATAAATGAAATTACTTGTTGCATATGAGTCACATTTAAGAAGCAAAAAAAAAAATCTTATGACCTTCGCAAGCCATAGTTAAGGGACCATTGAGGCGCAGTTTGGTCATGCCTGATTACAGACCTCCAGTAATTCACAAGTCTTCAGCCCCATAGTCTTGTGGTTGTAACAATGTTTCTCTTTCCAACCGAATTTTTCTCTGCTTAGAAGGAAACAAATTTTATTTCTGAAAATCGAAACTAGAAACGTAATTTTGCTATCCATGGAGTTGTAAGCGCTGTTATACAAGGTTCGTTAGCCTACTCTTTAACCAAGAATCAAAACTGTACGTAACTACGATAATCGTAATTCCATTTCTATGAGAGTATTGCGCTTCAATGAAAATCATGGTTCGGAAATGATAAAATGATAATGTTCATTAGTTCTTAGACAAAGGAGGGAAAATAAACTTTCATAATGGGAGATGGTAATTATTTTGCGTGTAAACGAAGAGAGCCCTTAATTTAGAATGCCAATAGAGCAACATAGAGATGTGTAAGTAAGGTTCATAGCAGGCGGCTCGCGTTTTCGAGGAATACGTCACTCTTTTCGCTTGCGATATACTATATTCAGCACATCTTCTACTCACGACATATTATTTTATGCTTCCTGTAATATTTCCATTACACTTTTGTCTCCCTAGCAGTATAAAATTTTTGGCGCGCTCTTGAAATAAAAAAAGTCTATGCAAATTATAATAGATTTCTATCCTTGCAGCGGGAATAATGACGATCCAAATGTCGTATCTGGCAGAATTTTGCAGACTTTTTTGAATGGACAGAATTTGAAGCTTCAGTTTAAAGCAAATTCATATATTTAAATTCTGAATTTCTTCGATGAAGTTGTTTCTGCCTTTTATGCAGTACTTTAGTGTTTTAGGATATCATATGCTTTCGAACATATTTTATAACTTCTGCGTAAAAACTCTTCAGCTTGTAAGCAACAATTTTAAGATTTTTTTTCAAAACTCTCTACAAATAGCTTCAAAAAATTAAAGTACGATTTCATTCAATTCCATTTTGATCGATTTTTAGCATTTGTAAGAAGTTCGCTTATCATGCGGATGAATTTTGCATTAAAAGAATGTATTAGTGAACTACTAAAGTTCTAAAGGAAAACAATTGCAGATCTCAAAATATTAGTAGATTTCTGAGAGGAAGATAACAGACTAAAAGATAATTACCTAAAATAAACGAAATACGCAGAATGATATTTTTGAATTTAAGTATGTGTTAAAACTTTTCAGTCGAGCCCCTTGATATTCCTGGATTCCTAATTTACGGTTACTGTGCCGCCCAACCGGGATAGTGGTTAGCGATGCTGAATGCCATACCGGAGGGCCCGGGATCGAATCCCGGAGAAGGCAAGAATGTTTGTAAATATATATTGTGAGTGCGGCGCGGGAGTACTCTAAATAAGTGGCCAGACGGAAGACCTCTCAAGAGGTTGGTGCTAGGGAAAGACAAAAGTTCAGTGAATATGAAGATTAGAATTGGACGATTCACCCCGGAACTGATTCAAAGGAAAGATTCGCCTTGCTAAACGAGTTTACTTCGATTCCAGGAAACAGAGTGGTAGCTGTTTTACAGCAAACGAAGAGTTTTTATTAGAAGTGTCCCAGGAATAGAGATCTGCTATTCACTCAGAAAGTGATTTATTTTACTGAGCGAGCAAACGCCTAATTCATGAGGAAAAAAAAGAAGAAAAGCGGAGCTTGTTTCGAGCTATCCACTCAGAGCTTTTATTGAAATCAATCGTGCCAAGAAAGTTCGATTTCCATTTCACGGAAGAAAAGAATGTTTATGCTCCCATGCTAAAAATGAGCTTAATTTTATCGTTTGATTCTTTCCGCTTTTCGCTCCGTGCTCAATAACCTCTTTTGATTCACCCCTGTTTCCGATCTTTTTATCAAGGTTATTGTTAGTTAGTAGTTAGTTTTTGTTATTGGGTCATAACTGATTTATTTCAGTGAGCCAACGGTTCTGATCCGATCCGATAAAAGAGCGGTTTCGCCATCTGTAATGGAGATATCGAAAGAATGATGTCGAAGTTAATGATATCGATCCCAGCAGTAAATCTCTTTGTGGTAATGATCTGAAATCTGATTGTAGCGCTTGTAAAAAATATACCCTTAGACACGTCAAGTGACAGTAAGATTGAGTAAATATCAGGAAATAATCTTCCAAGGGAGGATATTATGTATAGCATGTTACACACTCCAATCCTAAAAGGTAGCAACAAGAAGTGCACTGTGTTATCTGTTTCCTGACAGGAAAAATGGTCGATAACTCGATAATTCAAATATTGTTATGCAACAAGCGAAAGGCAGCCAGGGTTATACTTCGGCGATTATTATTTTAAAATACGACAGGTTTGGAATGCCCCATTCTAGGCGACATATGTAATACATGTTTCGTATACTAATGTCTCGTACACTAATATCTTTATAGTTCTTTTTTCATAAATTATTTCCATTAGTAATTATCACTTTACAACTCCAACTACATTTCCACAACTATTTGAAGCACAAATCTTTATGCACAAGCAAAATAATATTTGCAGCGTTCAACAGACTTACGATATTTCGAACATCACAAAGCGACGACATTTGAATTTATATTAACAAAAAGTTCCATTTAAAAAAAAAATCAAATCTGGGAGGATAATGCGATTTCTTTGCAAGCATGAATAAGTACAAATTGTGCGTGAACCCATGGATCATAAAAAGTATGCATATCAGTTAAGACCCCTTTAAACCAAATAATTTTATGCACTTTTTTTTTTCGGAATGTATACAGTTAGATAAAGCTATTAAATTATATAAGAAATAGCATAATTCATAGTATACTTATCGATATAGCTCCCCAATTATGTACAGTATCTGTTTGAAACCTGACCTTAAATTTAGATTTTATTAATTCATCGAGACAAGGCTTCATCACATATTTATTAAACTGATGTAAAGACAAATCAACAAAAATTATACTGATTTCCATACCTATAGCTTTTCTTTAGCAAAAACAATAATTTTTGTTCGTCTTTTTAAAAAAATGTATTTTAAAGTACGAAAACCTCGAATTTAAAGTCGAGTGAAAGGAAGCACTTTTGGCTAACTGAGCACAGCAATAACTAAGGAGGAAAAAAATGAAAAAGAACATGTATGGCTAAAGTGAGCATTTAACGCATTTGAAAAATGAACGCCATTTTAATAAGCATATTATTCATATTATCAAAGCAAAATCATGTACGATATTATTTCTTAGCATCATCCCTATTTTTTGTGCTAGTACTATATTTGTACAAATATTAGAGCTGCATTATGTAAAAACCTTTCGCATAAATTGAGATTTCTCATGTACCTTACCGTTCCGTACGGATTACCCGTTAACTGTACAGTCCGCAATAAGCTTAGACCACCCAGGCTGTTGCCTTAAGCAGCCGGTTTTTAGAGCGTGTCAGCATAGTTCTTCCAAAGAGCGACGATATCCCGTGAAGACAAAAAGTACTATAGTATGTCATTATACTATAGTATGTAGTAACTATACTATATTACATTATACTTATAGTATGTAGTAATTATACTGTATCATTACATTATAAATATATAGTAAAATACTATATATATTATATAGTAAAATACTATATATATTATATAATAAAATACTATAGTATGTCATACGAGCGAAACAGCGATTTTTGAATATTCTGACATAAAATCTTAGACTAATTTCGACTTTCTAAAGAAGTGGAACAGCTCTTGAGTCATTATAGAGAAATGACTTAAAAGCGTTATGACCGAGGCTCGACATTTCGTAGATGTTGAACTTAATCGATCAGTTAGTTAGCAATAAATTAAACAACGAAAAAAATATTCAAAATAAAATCATATCTTAAAATTTCACACTTTGATAAAAAAAAAAAAAAATAATAATTCTCAAATGGGGACGAGGGAGAAAAATTATGCAGTTATTTCGTTAGAAAACGTCTTTACAAACGTTGAGTATTTATAAGTGAATTTTCAGGCGAACTAACGGGATTATTATTTCAACCATTTAACTAAATTAAAAGAAACGTCTGTTAAGAAAGTGAAGTAAAATAACGAAACAATTTGCTCAGAAACAAGATCACATTTTTGGAAATCACGTTTTGAAAAGTCATATTCTTAACACGGCAAGTAAAGAAGGAGGAAAAGGGATTCTAAAATTAATTACATAAGGGCTTCACACCTATATTTTAACCAGTCCTGGCAGAAATCAAGAATACACTCTTCCTGATTTAACTGAGCTAAAAGTAGCACAAATTAGATACAAAAACTAACAGTATAGTCTTCATTAGCATTACTAATTGATGAATTCTATTATAAACTGATAGCGCAATTCAAGAGTTTAATTCGTCTTCATGATTTAATTAAATTAAATGTAGCACCTGCTGAGGACACAAAGTAAAATAACTATGGAAAAAAAAAAGTTTCATTTCAAAAAAGGTAACCAGATTTAGGAACTCAGCTCAATTTCTGGCACGCAAGCAAGTCCTTGGAACCATTTCATCGTTCCAAATATCATCTGCATACGAGAAGATCAACGAGAACATTAAGCAGAAAGCGAAAAATTCCAGCTTCTCATACTCGATCTTCGCCACGCCTATGACCAAATCTATTGTAGCCCCAAGATGATGCGTGCTCTTGCCGGATACCAGACGGTCACGCTTATGATTTTCGGGATTCCTCATCTTTTTGTAGCCGACCCCGTGACTCGCATTCTTTGGGTGACAGTTAGACCCTCTGTTAAGGTGGTCACGTGGTTGACTGATATATAACCCATATCAAACGTGTGTCAGGCACACACTTTCGATTTGTTTCCATTGTGGTAAGAACCAAAGACTACATCTCTTGGATTACACATCGTGGGATATGATCAAACAAAATCATGGGGTAAGTGAACATTTTAAATAACAGTGATATGACGCATTTTAAAATATTGAGAAGAACAACTAAATCAATATTTCAGTTTCCAGTAATCGGATTAAAAAAGTAATTATCATATTATTATACATTTGTTATTAATTTTTTTAGTTTAAGAAATTATTGTGTACTTTACAAACTTAAAATTCATAGATTCATAATGATTACATCGGTAAATGTTCAAAGAAAATTACATTTGTCAAATATAAGTCCAGTAATCAGAGATATTTATGTCATTTATTTTTTTATTTTACAGCCTTAAAAATCAAATTAAAACTACATATTCTAATAGTAGATACTATATATAGCACCATACCTCTTAAAAGATCATTACACAAATGTTTTTTGCATTGCCTTATATAGCAACTACAACTCACTTGAGTACTTTATAAAACGTAAAATTGTAGTTTAAAATGACATAAAAGTTTTTAAATAGCTTCAATCACATATGTCAATTGCAAACTTTTAAGCAATATCAACATACTCAATCAATTTGAATTCGTGAGAACTTTGATCAACTTTTATCTATACTCTATTAATTATCAGAGGTTATAAATTTGTAAAACCATTCACTGAAATATTAATCACAGCAAATAAATAATGTGTAGTTATATTGAATTTACAAATATTCTTCTTTCATACTAATATAATTCAGAACTTCATAGAGCTCAAAGGTTTAAGTACTTAATCCAACTATTCGTATTTATTTTCAAAAGCATATTTTAATGTTTACAACACATATTAAACTGCCTTAGAAATATGTTCCCTATAAAAGTTTAATGCAATGCAGAGTTATAATAAATTTAACGAAATGGCATATAAATTCTAATGTAGTTTTACATATTTTAATTTAATATTTTATCCAGTCCTTATTCTTAAGGCAAAGTGAGTTTGGCGAGATCCAAAGATGACAATGTTTTATGAATGTTTCCCACAGCCAGTTAATGAAATTTTATTAATTAAAACTAAACGTAGTTAATATATTTAAAATAAATCAGATTACATGAATTGATTAATTTTTTCCGGTAAATATGTTTCATATTTTCATTAATTTTTAATATTATACATTTCTAATATATCTTTCATTTTTAATATGCATATTTTATTAAAATATTTAACTTTTACTTAAAGTACCACTTCCTATTTTATTTGAAATTTCAAGACATTTTAAGGTTCTATTGAGTTAAACAGATCATTAGATTTTATTTTTTTAATAAAGTATATATATAAATACAAAAGTCAAAGACCCCGCATACTTTTTTTCTCAAAAGAATGGGGGGGAGGGGTAAAAACGTTGCAAAAAGTATTACTTTAAGTTACATACCTCACTTTCCACCAAAAGCGTAACATATGATTTATCTCCTTCCAATAAACGAAAGGTAATCAATCAATATAGTTTCTATTCGAGTTTTCAGAAAATGAAATTTCAGTGGCCGGGTGAATCTTTGCTAAATCAGGTACATGATCGCTGTTTTACCTCTCTTTCAATTTAAGAGAAAAAATAATAACTTAACCCTTTAAATTAACTTGACCTAAGCAATAAATTGTCAGGTTATTCTTAATCTCATTTGCAGCACACTTTTCTGAGACGGACAAGTTAATAATTAACACCAAAATTGTAGTTTTCTGTTCCAAAATATATAATAGAAAGCTATACTTTTGTTTATACTTATGAACCTAGAAGGGAAAACTTCGGTTGAAGTAGAAATGAAAGAAAACTAAAAATACTTAAGTAAGTTATAAAATAAAAAAGTATATCTTACACGTTTAGCAACTGTATAGCATCTGAATATTAATTTTCCAGTGATATTTGATTATTTCTCCATATCTTACAATATAAAACTGCGGAATTTCTGTAAAAGTAAATTCAGTGATCTCCAGATGTGCATACTGCATAACCTTTGATAGGATATTCGTCCAGCTTGGCCAGCAATGGATTACCTATATCGATTACTAATATTAAGTAAAACTATTAACTGTAACAAAGGTACTTAAGATTCAGGAGGAACTTGAATATCATTATTACGAAATATAAATCTCATGCATGCAATGTACTTCTACAAAGATCTCAGAATAAATTCATATAAAATGGAAAGGTGAAGAAAACAGTATCCTTACTTCTTAGCATTCAATATGCAATCCTTGGAAGTTTATGCAATGTTTGGCACTTTCATACAGCTTCTTGATTCCTTAGAATAACCTGTCTTTTCAAATGTTGTTAAAAATCGTTTAAATGTTAAATTACTACCACTGAAGTCAGACTTCAAAAAGAGAGCTAGTCTTAAAAGAAAGTGGTCTGCTTAGTCTGCTGGTGGGGTGCCACATCTGGTGAATGGGGTTAGAATGATTAAGAACTGTATTATTTCTTTATAGTTAGAAATTGCCTGAAGAGAATGAAACTGTGAGACAGCGCATTTCAGTGCATCAGAAACAACTTATTCGGATTGATCTTTTTCTGGGCTAATGCGCTGAATTATTCTCAAAATATCCATGATGTCTCTGTAAATACGGGGTTCATTTTTGGTCCCTTAGAAACAAACTCCATATGATTTATTTCCTAATAAAGTAAAGATCATCAATATAGTTTTTATTCCAATTTTCAGAAATCAAAATTTAAGTGGATATGCTGAACCTTCGCTAAATTAAGTAAATGACTGCCATTTTTCCTCAATCGTAAGCAAAGCAATCACTGGTCACAGTTTATTTGAACAGTCAGGATTAATATTTGCCATCTGGATCAAGTCATAAAATGTAGGAAATCGATCTTCTTTCTATCCTGCGGTCATTGCATGAGGAGCAATATTAAAATTATTTTTCTCTCGGTATTTTCTGGGACAGATTAAGAACGATGTCTTTACCGATGTTCAATTCATCCGCTATCATTTGAAGCAACAAGCAACGATTTTGCAACAGCAGTTGTCGAACTTTTTTTAATATTCTTATCCGTTGGAGACTACGGAGAGTAACTGCTCCTGGGTTGATTATCAGTAATCTCGCGTCCGTTACAAATTCATCTTTGCAACCGAAACATGTTGGTTCATATTGATATTGGATTCCTGTATGCTTTATACAACATTTCAAATATCTGCGTTCCTGTTTTTCTCGGTTTATAGCAACACTTCACTGCTGTCATTTACTAAGATTTCGGACCTATGTTTAACGATTTAAGTCGGTAGAAAATATTGCCCGTAAGCAGACGATACTTTAAGAAAAGCAATCTGAGATACCATAGTAACAAGTAATGTCAATTACTATTTAGCAGGTTGACTCAAATTTGTTTAAAAAAAGCTAGAGAGGTAATGTGTGGGGACGTGTGAGATTTATACTTCAGATTTAAACTAACAAAGAAACAATAATTATTTTATTTCCAGGGGAATTTTAAAAATTTTAATTAAATACATAATGAATGTAAAAAGCATTAACGTGATACACTTCTTCGGAATGTTTAACCATTTCTATTTAAACAACTGATCTAAGTCATTCGATCTTTTTCCATATGTTACATTGGAGAGATGAAAATCAATCTTGTTATTGACATAGGACATTTGAAACGAAACAGGTAATATCAGGGTTGTGTGGCTCACAAAAGAAAACAGACTGGAGTTTCCACATATAATATCGCTTTCAACCAATTCGGATAGACTATGTTCTCGTGTTTGAACTAATGTTATGCATTTAATGCATCTATATTTTTTTAGCCATAAAAGACAACTAGTGGTGAATATATAGCGGCGTAAATGCCGAAATTGTCCAACTACCACAGTAGATGCATTGGTGACGGCCTCAAAGATCATCCTATCAGACAAGACGTTTATTCTGGTTACATCAGAAAGATATGTATAATAATAATATGTATAATAAAGATATGTATAAGAAGTACTGATGCATGTGTTCCGTTAACTATTCAAAACGTAGTATTCTGAACACTTTGTTTAGATCCCCTAGTGATAGGACATTGTTACTAAATCCTATATCGACTTAAGAGAGTGGTGCTTGAGGCTAGTACAGATAGGAGAAGGCATTCATAACTCTCCCCGAATTGTCGAAAGCAATCGTTTTGGAGGACATCTTGGCATCTTTTTTTGACAGTTTTAGTCTAACAACTGAATTTCATAGTGATGCCATCTCGCATCAACATGTAAGAATTATCACGAGACGACTTCTAAGTTCCATTTAATGAACAATAATATACGTCTTTATACGTCTAGTTTGGTTCCACAATACCTGAAATCGGAGGGTATAACGAATAGAATTCCCGACCCGCTCATCGAATTCAAATTCCATTGAACAGACAGAAGGCGCCTTTAATCACTGCATTACGATACATAACACTCCACCAAATAGTTTAGACGAATTGCTCAAGATTAAAATTCCTTATTTCTAAAGCTGGCATCTTTTGATGATGATAAAATTGTCCACAATGCAGTTGTTGTTAAGCTTGTTTAGCTATCTTTCACTATGCCATTCATACAGTGGATTGAAATGTCCTTTAACTATGAAAGATGCATTCTTGATTCAAGAAGTGTCAAGCTAAGAGCGCTCGGTTTGATTTTTTTAATGGGTCAAATAAGCCCAAATTTCTTTTGTTTTATTTATTTTACATATTGTATTTATTCTTTTGCTCTGTGTTTCTTATAGCTAAATGAAGCAAACCCACCCCAAAGAAATGTGAATATAAGCATATATAAACCTATAAAAGATGTTCTAAAAAGATGGCACAATATACTTCAGTACTGATCCTAAAATTATACTTATAATTACAAAGTTTGAGAATGTAATATAGAAGGCTGTTAAAACATGTAGAGTCATTAGTATTTTTAAAGCAGGAGACATGAAAAATGTGCAACCCCTTCGCCGGATTCGAACCTCTCGACTGCCAGTTGGACATGCTATTTAATTACAGCACGAATACGCGATGAGGAGAGCGAAAATACCTTATAAACAGTTTCAGGACCGTAGTAGACTGATTTTGTAAACAGAAAATTCAGTTCTTTTAATAATCTTCTTAAAATAAAATATTCATTCAGTAAAACGTGTATTATGCTTTAATGATCTAAATAAAAAAAGCTCCATAATTTTATGCGCAAAAATTGAAGAAAATATTCGCAATTAATAGTTTCGTACTATTAGCTATAAAAGAATAACGAAAACTGTTTTATCCCACAAAGAAACAATAGTTTGTGAAACGCGCTAACGTGCTAACTTTGTTTTGTAATTTTTAAGTATGATTAAAGTCTAATATAAATTTGTTAATTATAGATATTTAAAAAGCGATCTAAAACAATGAGTTTCCATGAGTTCCTCACGTAAACATATGGAGTTTTTTTATAAATTATTAAAGTGTAATAAACATTACACATTATCTGATTTTATTGGAGGAGGGGCAGAATGTAGAAAGAAAAATTTTCTGATTACAAAATTTGATGATAAAACTGCTTTCATGAATTTCTTTGTTTTGAGGTCTTCTAGTTGAAGGTATAATCAATATTTAATGAATTAAAAGATATAAGCAAATTTTTCGAAAGTAATATATATTATTTTTCTTCTTTATTCCATCTTATAATAAGAAAAAACTACTTTATTCCATCTCGCAACATTTGCACGAAGCAGCATACAAAAAATACTTTGCTTTTAAATGGCGGCAAGCAGATACTTGAAGAGAATTTGTATTCTAGACCAAATACCATAGTCTGAAAAGAATCCCATGTATAAAAATTGATTTTCGCCCATAAGGCCTGAACACAGAGCCTCAGACAGAGCCTGCTCTAAGCATGAGAGACATAGAACGTCGATTTTCGGAGAGTGCCAGCTAAGTTGTTGCTAAGTAAAAGTTGTGAATTATCCATATGTATTTAATTTATATCAGATTATCTTTATTATATAAGGGATCAGTAGAGTTCCTACGATTCCCCTAAGTTACCAAAAATGCGAAAGCCAGACCTGCCTCAAATTTTTATGGTGTCCCGAAATCCGCCCGTAATTCCTCAAAATACAGTGTCTCATGTATGAAAACAAGGAACAGGTGTGCCTTGGAAACCCAAAAGAATGCTGTGACTGGAGAACCCTCAGATTGGTTTAATGGTGCTTTGATCATGTAACTTATAAATATTTTCCATTTAGTTTAGCTTTAGAACATTAAAACGATCATGTTCTCTCTCAGCGTTACATGTTCTTCAATATGTGAAAAATCAAAGAAAAAACACAGTTAATTTTAGTTAAAAATGAACGAACCCGCTTAGCTATAAATACAGCATTTAAGGCAATCAAAGCAGGTTTCCTTATTTTAATACTGTTAATGGATCATCTCCCACGTCTCATGACAACGAATTAATTTTCCATTATTCAAAAGAGGAAAACTTGAATGGTACTTAGTTTAGAAGCTATCAGCGATTAAACATGAAAAATGAAGTACTGAAAATCGCAGACAGGCGGATGTATTTACGCAGTATGAACTTAATTTACCGCAGAATTTTTGACCAAATGTGACAGCCCGTAACTGATTTATGACGGTAAGTGGAACACTTTCAACTGCAGGTTAGTCTGCCATCGTTTCAGAAAAAGTATGCACAGTGACGATTTCTTTGTGCTTGACCTCATTTCGTACAAGAAATATTACTCTCATATGCTTTGAAAGGAATTTAACGCTCTAAAATATACATTCAGTAAATTCAAATAAGGTACCTCTTATTTCAAATTTAAATCGCATTAGCCTTCTTATGCGGACGAACTTTACCTGTTTCAATGCAGTTATTAGACCATTTATTTGAACAATAACTGATACATTCCATCGAACATCATATTACACAATCTCATAATAAACATAAAAATGGCAAATCAATATTTTAACTGACAAAAGCGTTTGGTATTATTTGCCTAAAAGTTAAAAGGACTGAACCGTGCCACAATTAAATGATTTATTGCAAACACAAGCAAAAGATGGTAACAAATTTTCCCGTTTGTAAATATTCCATGCCATTAAAGCATGTCTGCGTAACAGAATTGCTAGTCTTAACCAAACAGGATTACTACGTATGTTATTCCCATCTTACAATAATTCGATTTAAAGCTTTTTTTTTTTTTTTTGGCAATATGATGGTGTAAAAGCACTGCTCATTCAGTAGAAAACAACTTAGATTTTTGAATTTTAAGCATTCCAGCAGGTTAACAAATATGGAATAGTTAAGATAAGTGAAGCGCATAACCAACATGAACTTTGACCAGTAAAGATAGGATGGTTCTGCTTGCTGTATAGAAATACTAACGGAAAAAAGAAATTAATTGTACAGGCAAACCTTGGTATCTTTTAAAAGCGCTTTTCGTGGTAAAACCATTTACGAAATTCGATGATTCATTGCTTTCTACTAGCTAACTGAAGCCTCATTAGAAGAACATTCTATAAATTCAAAAGAAAACGAATTTAACATTTTTAACGCTGATAATTTTTGTAGGCTAAAAATGTGTAACAGGTATAACACGTGAAGAGCATAACATCTAGAAATTTGGCAGGTAAAGATAGATTGGTACTGACTATATAGAAAAGAATAATGAAAAGAAAAAAAAATTCAGTTGACACTTTTATATGCTACCAGAAAGCTTTAGCTCTTGCTATCAACAAAACCCAGGGGCTTCTTCCCATCTACGAAACATCTGCAGTTTCATCCGAAGAGCACTAAATCAGTCATAGAATCCACATTATCTAATTATTAAATCGATTCAAACATACTTTAAATGCAATACATCTTTAACTGTGTACATTAATAATGTATCTGTACATCCACAATAGTTTCTATTTCCCTGTCGATGAAACAGACATAACTTTGAAAATTTTTTCCAACTTTGAGTTGAATCGAATCTTCTCAAAACACAACTACCTTGCTTTATGGCAGTCAGTGAGGACGTGTTATTAGAATACATTTTTAATTTAAGGTGGGTTAATCGTAACGCAACTTTTCTTCGTATACTGAAAAGCATCTCTAAAGGCGTGTCCTTTCCAAAGTTGCTTTCCAAAAACATGATTTAAAATATCATTTTATTTTAAACATAGCTAGTAGCGGTATGAAAGTGATAATATTAGTTTAATTTATTAAAATATGAAATCCAAATATAATACGTGGAAATTAAAATAGGACGAAGGGGAAAATTATGTAAATATAATGAAATTCCCAAGAAGAAAAGAAAATTATGATGCACTCCTCAGTTAAGCAGGAAGTATTAAATGCAAAATAGTTGCAATGGATTTGTGTTTATAAGCTCGCAATTTAAATATCAATAAATAATTATTAAGAGAAGGAAAAACAATATAATAATTAGTAAGTACAATGAAAGCCATTAAAATGTTTTAACTGTCCTTGTAAAATTTTTGTTAATTCAGTCAAATCGTAATGATGATGATATTTCTTTATATTACCTACTTAGAACATTTGAAAATTTTTAAACTAAGCCTAGCATCTTTAATACAATTAAAAATTACTATAAAAATATTCTTTGTAAATATCGACAGGTGAACGTAATATAAATCACCTGTACATGTAAATGTTTAATTTCATAATTTAAAATTTTATCATTGCCGTTAAATCACAAAAATAGATTTCACTAGCATTAAAGTAAGTAGACTTGATGCATAACATAATTTAATTGAACTTCACTATTGTGTATTACTGAAATACATTCACTGCATAAATGAAATGATACTGCTATATAAATTTTGCCCTGAATAACATGCAAAAAGCAAACAAATTCGATAAAAATTTAAATTGCTAAGAAACAGACTTCTCTTTACACTGTATAAAACAATTTTAAGATTAATGATTAAATAAGTAAGTGGAATTAAGTAACTCAACTAGTTATATTAAAAATTTGTATTATTCTATTAAGCATATTAAGCAGTGAATTTATTTATATTTTAAGAAAACAGTTTCCTTTAATCATGCATTATTTTATGCCTTTATTTTCGTTCTGAAACAGGTCACATGGTTGCTCGTCACTTGCACACTGATAGGTCTTGTGGCTAGCACTCAAAATGAGAAGCGATTAACAAGCAACAATTCTACAACCTCAAGTAACACTCTAGCAACCAGCAAGAAAGATTCATCGGCCAAGAATGGTACTGCAGAATTTGTTAGATTGCATAGACGCGCACCGAGATTTGATACTGCAGGATCAAGTCCTTGGGTTAGAGTCTACAACCGACCACCAGGTGAAACTCGTAAATTACATTTCCCTCCTTTTACTAAATTCTAAATTTTACTAAGTTTTACTAAATTCCTTATGTGAAAATACCTGCTCATATTCTTTTAATGCAAGTTTAAATTACTTAAAAATCTTCTTTCAATTTTGAGATGATTATGAAGTTGATAACATCTTGTGGAAAATGTCCTTTAATTTCGTAATACATTTAAGAAAAATAAGCGAATGCCGTTTACAGATTCGTTCTTAAGAATCCAATGTATTAAACTGATTCCATTTCTTTAATCTTTGTTTTCCTCATTTTCCACTATTACTCACCCATACAGTAATAATGAGTAATAATATTATGTTTTATTCATTCTAGGTAGTAAAACAGATTCATTTTTCAATTATGAAACAAGAGGCAACACTAGTGCTCACACTAGTGGAGAAGCATGGTCTGGTTTCGAAGAAAATGTTTTAAAGGATAATGCTCCCGCCGCTAAAGAAGATTTAAATGCACAAGTCCAGGACATCCTACGAGTGAAACCAAAAGGCAAAAACAGCGCTTTAAGCAATACAAAGATTAAAACACCCGAAATTCAACAAGAGATCCCACAAGGAAAAACAGTTTCCCCACCCACAAAAACACCTCAGACAACAGTATCATCAGCTCCAGTAAATAATGACGCTCAGAAAAAAGGTATGGCTGCATTTACCTATAACTGATTTTAAAAAAGATTTCTGATATAGCAATTATGAAACGAATTTCAGAAAAAATATGAATTAACTAACCGTAGGATAAGTTGTAAGGATCTTAAGTTTTACTAACGTTTATTTTATTTTAAATCTTTACTATCACTTCTTATTTTCTACTTCCGGCCAGAAATAAAAGCGTTAACTTATTTATGCAAAATTTTGTCTGGCAAACGCCAAGTACTTAAGTTGTGGCTTTTTGCCAAGCGAGAGAGAGGAAGGAGTTAGTCGAAGCAGGCCGCTTACCTTAGAAGTTTTACTCAGTTGCTGGTTGCCTTCCAGGCCAGAGGTTTAATCCTCTTGATAATTTTAAACGTATTGTAGTGTTAACAGTTCTCTGTACTACATACGGCTTCCTGTTAATATAAGGCCAATCTTCCACGTTTATTATTTCAAAGTTAAGTTAGAGTTTAGCTCTATTTTTATATTCTTACGTTTAGACCACAAGTAGTGGGTCTTTGTATTCCGAAGTACGGAAATTATTGTAAATAGAGAAAAATAAAGGATTTTGTATACCTACGAGGGTATCCTGTCTACTTACCACAGTTATTGAACATAGCTTTAGTAAGCTCTCTGTTCCGAGTCAGGTCCTTGCATGTTCCCAAAGAAAGTAAGACGGAACATTGAACCTGATAAAGTTTAGGGGTGTATTTTACTTAGTCAAAAAATTAAAACAACTTAAGACTGAGAAGGCTTAAAACTATATAATAGAATTAATTAAGAATACAAAGAAATTAAACAACGTGAAAGCTGCTAAGACTTCTTCAAAGAGTAGAAATTAAACAGAATACAGAAAACCAACTACAAGTCGTTTTATATATTTTTACTTAATTTTTTAAATTTCAAATATTAAGTTTTTCAATTTATTAATCGAGAAAGTAGTAACTTAAGAGTTAACTAATTTGTTTCACATTAATTAATAATCCATTTCAAGTAATTATAAACAGCAATTCATAACTTGTTTGCGCAAGAGTTCTGCACACACATCTAGTAATAGAAATAATAATTGTTAAATAGAAAAGACATAGTTTCTCACATACAGGACCTTTGTTTAAAGTTAAAAAATGTATTTCTTAGGCTACATTGCTTGGTCGTCCAATGATGGTGCGTCGCCTTCTAGATGGGCTTCGAATGATGCTGCTGATTCTGAAAGCAAAGACCCAACTCCTGCAATTGAAGAAACCATTACGACGAAAGACGGCAATCGATGGAAAGTATGTAACTTCGCAAATGCATCATTCTACTTACAAATTACCAACAAATTCGTTTCAGTAGCAGTCAGAATATTGAGAACAGCTTTCTAAACTAATACGTATAGAAAATTTCGAGACTCTAATTATTAAAACAATATTTCAATTCTTGTACATCTTAAATAAAAAAATTTATTGCATTATCCTTTTATGACAAATAAACATTCAAATGCTAGTTTTGTCAAGTTTACCATATTCTCATGTTTCTATATGAGAAAATTAAATATCCTCTAAGCAGGAACGTGTAAAAAATAGAATTCTGTTTAACGGCAGTAGGACAAACAGTATGTCTATATATTGTAAGAAATATATCAATATCGTTAACAGAAATATATCAGTTTTCAAACTTTGAAATATAAGCTTATATTCCTGGCACAAATTTATTATTCATTGAATCTAATGATTTTGAAACTAGCCTAGAAAATAAATTTTACCTTTCATTTATTTTCAGGTGGTAGGTAAAGGTGGTGAAGGCTGGGAAGTTGTAGATGATAAAGGTGCTGTTGAATGGAAAATCGAATATGATGATGGGGAGTGGCGAGTCACAAGTACCGGAAATGCTCCCAATGATGTAGAATGGGCTGATCCTGAATACGTGTGGGGACCTTCCGATGGATCCCTGTCTGAAGATGATGAATATAATTCTTGGCCTGCTGATGATTACGGTTACACGCCACCTTGGATAGATCCTCAAACTTATGTTCCAGATTATGGAAATTACAGCTGGCCAAAGAAAGGTGATGATATCCAAAAGCCTGCCTCTGCCAAGGACGAAGCGAGACAAGATCCCAGTTCTGGTAACAATCATTCATTCGCTAGAGTAAATTCAAAAGATGATGAAGTGAAATATTAATCTTTTTTAAATCTTTAAAGTTTTGATGCAACGATCTGGGTAAACTCTTTCGGTCCACATCATAGTTTTCAATAACTGTACATTAGGTCAAGATAAAACATCATATTAAAAGTAACTGTAAGCTTTCATTTCAAATAAAATTCCGAAAACTAAGAGTTTATAATTTAAAGATCCGCTGCAACTTTTAGGGCCAAAACTCAGGAACACTATGAAGTTAAGATTAAATTTGACGGATTGAGTATTAAATTCAAAACGTTTAGGGATTGTAGTCCAAACTAAATTTCTCACTAGATAAAGTTTCTCAAACACTAATAATTTAAGTAAATATACTAACATACAGGCGTTAATTCAGTATAAGATGCACACGTTTTTACTCTTGAACAGGAACAAAAGTACAAATATTCTCGTGAAAAGCTTGTTTGCTTTCGCTGATATTTTAACTCTCACTACATCCTCCTCCCATTTTGAGGTGTTCTGCTTTTATATATATATATATATAAATTTGCATCATTTCGACAGATTTTATTGAATTAAGAAGTAAATGAAACAATAGCTTTTAAAAAAAAAACCTGATCAGTTAAAGGTTTAATTAAACCTTGTAATTTCAGCATTTATGTTTTTTTTTTCCAACAAATTCTACCATTCTGCTGAAATTGGAATAGTTATAGTCTATTAGGCGTTTGTAATTAGCAAACACGGAAATTCAGTTATGCAGTCACTAGGATTCGATCTCCAAACCTCACAATAGCTACCTGGATATGGTAACACTTACGGCAATAAGGTAGCAGTGAGGATGCAGGAAATTCATTATTTAGTTCACAACTAATCCTTTAACTAAATATAAAATTTTTAGTTTTAATTATAAATAAAAACTAAACTCAGTGGCGCAACAGCTGTAGTGGGTCACGGTATGCAGTGCACCCAAAACTGCTTTTTTGACCTTGGGCCCCGGAGTGCATCAGCATATGCTCTGGGCAAGTGGTCAGTTTGTCGCAGAACTCCCGGTGTTTAGCCCCAAGCGAACTTGGTACTCATTTTATCGACCCACTCAAGGCATAAAAGGCCGACTCAATCTTGGCGAGCCCGGAGATCGAACCCCGGACCTGTGGTGCAGCTACGCAAAGCGCTAGCCACTTTTAATTGTAAATATTTGTTTTTATTTTCATGCAAAAGTTTTGTTGTGTGAATAATATAAATTAGACTGAATAATACAGAGGACTTGAAGATTCATAAATGAATAAAATTATTTTTCTGTAAATGTATCAAATAACTGAAATTCAGGATGTACAGTCATTGAAACCCTTCTCTTACTCTGGATGCAATTACAGTCTGGAATAAAAAGCAAGTATCAATGTTAACCTGTACAAAATAATACAAAATATAAACCTGTTATAATATCGTTCTCCATCATTTAATTATCTCTGCCAATTTTCTAAATCTAAATAATAGCTTAAGCACTATATTCTGAAATAAAGATTTAAAGTAATAAAAAGTTAGTAAAGCTCCCTGGTGGCATAAAAACGTATATTAGGATCTGGGTAAACAAAAGCTCAAGTACGTACTAATAATTCCTGCAGAGTAACGATTTTCGCAATCCCAAATTCACATTTTATGAACAAAAAATTATATTTTTAATTCAAGGATGGCAAGATCCAGTGGGGCAACAAACCAGTTTCAAAGAGCCAGTTCCTTATGGAACACGACGCAGAACCTTGCCTGAAAAAACTCGAGTCAACAGTGCAGAAAGGCGAACAAGTAACGAAAACGCAGAGACAGCAGATCACAGCGTAGACACCGAGCCCCCACAAGCAGACCAGCCAACACCAGGAAAGTCCTGGAGGCCAAGTGGAACTATTATAGGTGCAAGTCCGGAGTGGGTGGAAGGATATGGAAGCAATGCATGGGAGGGAGACAATTCTGGATGGAATGCTGGCTATGGCAGAGAAACCTGGATCGCTGAGAACAAAGATTATCCTTCTGGACAATGGGTACCAAAACCTGGCCCTGGTAAGTGTTTTCCATCATTAAAAAATTGCAAAAAATATACAATTAATGAACACTAATTATTGTACGGATGTACAATACACAGGTTTTTCATTTAAATTCTCATGCATAGCTTTAACTTTTGATTAAAATAACCCAAGTTAAATGGCGCTACATCAATTAAAGAAATATTAAAACAATTGAAAGGAAAGCGAGTAGGTATTGTCTGTTGAAAGAATTTGTCATTTCTCTAATGAAGAAATGAAGATGATACAATTAGTATCTAGGAATTAATTACCAACTTTTAGAATGATCTTCCTGGAGAGATGTGAGATTTACACATTATGTGTCCAAATCCCACGTCTTAAAATTCAGGTAAAAGATGAATTATTATTCCGCAATATTTTCTTATGTCTCATTAATACATTATTTAAAAAGAAATAAAAAGAAATATTCACAAATGTGATGACATTTCAGTTTCATATTTACTTCGCTCTTACCAAAAAAGGACTGAAAAATACACAACTCTGAGTATTGCGAGACGGTTCTTCTGTAGTGTGGATGTCGTAGAATATACATACCCACAATTAAGCATCAAATACTACATCAGCGAAGCATGCATTTGTCAAAATCACATATTTCTCATCATATATTAATCATGAATTTCTCAGCATATATTAATCATATGTTTCTCACCATATAATAATCATGTATTAATCATGTTTTTCTCACCGTATAAGAAATATTTTAGTTTTAAACAAGATAATTGCCTAGACACAACTTTTCGTTAATCTCATCTTTTTTTTAATCAACTGTGTGCATGCTATGTACAAATCGAACACTTTTTTGTGGTAAACAGAAAATACTCTAAAGTTTACAACTGAAAATGCCTTCTTTACTTCGTTTTTGAGACAGGAATTCTAATGTGAATTTGCCTTTACAGACACTGCAAAGTGCTGCAAACCAGCAGTGCATAAACGTTTTCTTACAAGTATATATTACTTGATCAGCCTTTGAACACTTTACTAATAGAAAGGAATTTTGTGGAAGAGGTGTAGTCTGATTAATAAGGACGTGCAAGCAACTAATTTTAATCAGTTGGCAACCTACAGATGTTAAACTTAAATTAACAATAAAATAATCAGTTCTAAAATTTGATGCTGAGAGTAACAAGTTCGTTAATCATATTTATATAATTTTGCAAATATCAGAAATACTAATATTTATATAAAATTAACTAATAATTTTTCACCTCATTTATGATAAATAAATATTTTGATTATTGTTCTCATTTTTCATTTCAAAGGGCAAATCAAAACTAATATTAACGAAAACAGTGAAGGAAATGCCAAAACTCCTATCCGAGCTTGGGGCACCGGATATGGAAGCAAGACCTGGAAAGGCTCTGAATGGAACAGCAATGTTGTTTGGAAAACAGGATTCGGAGGACCATTACCGTGGTCAGATGATAACAGCACTTGGAAATTTCCAGATTCAGATACTAAGCTAAATGATTTAAATAAAAATAAAAGACCCCCGGTTTGGTCTCAACCAGTACCCAGTACAGAGAGTACAGCTGATGCAGGTAGAAGAGAAAGCGGTTCCACTGAAAAGAAACCAGATGCTGTCGACACTAAACGTCTTATAAGACCTTTTAACAGAGGAAATAATTTACGCAAAACGCCACCTCATAGAAGAACTGAAGGCGAAAGCTGGGGTGATGATTCAAGCACCGGAGGCGTCGTGTGGAAAGAAGACATACAGCCCCCAGCAGGTAAATACTAAAAACTGACGAATAATTAAATAATTATGGCATGCATATTTTATAACTAAAATAACAATATGGGATAAAAGTTAAAGAATTTAATATTTTGTGATCGCAAGTTAAATAAGCAAAACGACAAATATAAACTAATAGTCGTGCAAGTATAAAGTTGCACATATTTTGCAGAAATTTAACTTTCGGGTTGTTTTATTCTCCCATCAATAAAATTCCGAGTTCCATACTCAAGGACCCCATTCCGGATATGAATTCCTGGGGTATTGCCAGTGTGGTTTAATTTACATTGGCCAAACTAAGAGAGCCTTAAAATTTCGAAAAAAAAGAAAACACAGAAGTCTTCTGTTGCTCAACATTGTTGGTCCGAAAATCACACTTTCAATTTTTCTGCTGCAAAAATTATTCAAAAAACATCTTCCATTGAAGAACTGGATTTTCTAGACGCATTTCACATTCATAAAAATCTTTCTGTTCTAGTTAACGATCCTAATTCCAATCCAAATTTGCCTTCGGCCTTTAAAGAAATTATGTTTTAGTTCTGGGGTTCACCAATAGATGGCGCCACTTGCTTATTCTTGTCCAGGCTTTCTTATCTTATCTAATCATTATTTCCTATCTTGTTCATTTGCAGTTTTGCAGCTGAGGATGGTGGTTCGGTAAAACCATCGAAACTAGTCCTGTGAAAATTTTGTAAATATAACGCTGATTTTTGTTGTTTGACTTCTGAATTAATAGTCGTGCAGTTTTCAAGAATTTTTTAAGTATTTTTTGATGCTCCTCATTTAAAAAAACTTTTTTTTAATTATATATAGGCTTTTAAAATTTGAATTCTAAAAATGTGTAATAACCTTACTTTACTAGAAAATAAATATATTTAATTGCTTTGAGCTCAACATTTTAAGCTTTGATCATATAATCATATATTCTTTATAGGTCAATCACCAACGAAAGTGGATGGTAGTCAGAGTAACACTTGGCAACCAGTCGGTTGGAGAATAAGTGGGCCAAGTGGAAAGCAGAAAGATACGGTAACTTCATGGAAGTCAGGTCGTCCAAATAAAAGCAGTAATTTGATTAGTGTATTATGGAAAACGGGAACTGATATTCCAAGTGATGCGGTACCTGCTGAGTGGGATAGGACGCAGTTTCCAAACAGCAATTCAGACGGTACTCCTGCTTGGAACTTCGATGGGTGTAAAATGACCATAAAATGCGGGTCGAAAACTCCAGATGTTAGTGATGACAGCATAGATATAAACACACCTCCAAGTACGCAAGGTGATACATACCCACCACCTACAGAATCTCCGCCATCGAATGTCGGTAAAAGCTGGAAGCCTCCAAAAAGTTGGAGACCTCCATCATGGGAACAACCTAGCCCACCTTCTGGAATGAGATGGAAATCGCCACCTCCTACCGTGCCAACAACAAGTGTTCCTTGGAAATCACCCCCGACTTCACCAAGTGTGGCATGGAAATCTCCTCCTTCCTTACCCCCAAGCGTAACCTGGGAACAACCAACTCCAAGTATGAGCTGGAGAAAACCTACACCACCAAGCACAGCGTGGAGACAGCCACCATCCAGCAAAATTTGGAAACAACCTACACCACCACCGACATTAACATGGACAGAGCAAACACCAGATTCTCCAAGTGTGAGTTGGAATTCACCTCCGCCAATGAGATGGAAAAGACCTGGCAGAAAACCAACTAAGAGTTGGAAACCTCCACCAACCAAAAGCTGGAAGCCTCCAATAGGGCCAAGTCAAACCTGGACACCAGCTATCGCAACGCCCGCACCAGATGTATTTCCCCCTCAAACAAAGCCAGATTGTAAAGATGGCACACCACAACCAACTGCACCACCAAGTATTGAGGACAATGATGATGACACGGGACCACCACAAATCATAATTATAACTAAACTTCCAAATGGTCTAAAGCCACCTGGTGTAGCTGATGACAGTGATACTAAAGATACTGCAAAACCTCCAAGTGGTCCATGGATTTTTCCTCCCAGAAAAGGGAGCCCAAAGGGCGGCAAAACCAGAAAAGATAAAAAAGTTCCTGTGGGAGGTAGTGTAAATAGATGGCCAGCTCGCCCTCCAAAGAGAAATTCGAAACCATCCAATAAACAAAAGGGATGGCCTAAAGGTATGCTGCCTCCAAATTTCGGATGGACAAGTAATAGTTTGCGAAGATCGACAACAAAGAAACCAGTTATGATTAGCGGATGGAAACCTTCAGATAACACAAAACCAAAAACTTGGAGACAAATGTTGAAAAAACTGATTAACGGACGATAGAAAACGTGCGCTAATACTGCTTTAGATAATAAATTGCTATTATGTTTTTTAAATTTTATATTCTTTTAAGTATAAATAGCAGAGATTTTAGAGACAGAAGGGAGCTCAATAAAACTTCTTTTATTGATAAAACGGTAAATTTAAATCTTCTTTAGGCAGTCTTTCAAAATAAACTTTTTTTTTTCAGTGCCATTAATATACGCATCAAAAACACCGCCATTTGAAACCTTTAATCATTTGCAAAAAAAAAAAAAAAGGAGAAGCAGGAAAGCATTTTGAAATTTAAGTTTATGAAAAACGAAATTTTCACTCTTCTGGAACTAGTGTTTTTACATGTAAATGAAAACCACGATCGTGTAAATACGAGCAAATAGGAACAGCGTTTCTTTATGCGTTAATGTAGTTAATGTAAGCTTATTTCTGCATCAGATTTTATGTAATTGTTAAAATAAATTGCAACATTTAGTTTTTTTATTCAGACTTTGGATTATTGTTTTTAGATACCTACTACAATCGATAAATCGATTATTGAAATAGAAGCATGTCCTCTGGAATCATAGTAAACGAATGAAAACCCTGTACACAGTAAGATTATAACAGGTCAAATTTTTATAAACTCTTTAAAGTAATAAAATTAGAGAAATATAATTGGCTCTAACAAAGAAATTTTAATGGATCTTAATTCAGTTTAGAATCTATGATTATTAAGTCGCCTATATCTATGTTAAAGCCTTTGCAAAATATCGATATTTGACATTTACTGAACTTGCCATTTACCAATTTAACACAGCAAATATTTTTTTATGATTTCTAAACACAACTCACAAATTAAGATCAAGCCACATAAGATTATACAGCAAAAAAACAGCTATAGATTACAATCTGAAGAGAACTTGATTAGTACTCAAAAGAATTCCTCGCAGTTCAAAAAATTCTATGATTGTTTCAGATAGATTTAAAAGTTTAAAGACCACTGTACCAAACTGCACCTATTTGTCAGTTAATAACACTAAAGAATAAATTGTAACATATTTTCCACGTTCTTAAAGGCAAATACCTTTATTTATGAAATTTGTGGTGCCCAAAATGACGATCAAAGTGAAAAATTAAATGAAATCAAATCAAAGTGAAAATCAAAGTGAAAAATTAAAAAGTTTTTAAATTAATTAAAAACTGAGAACTGACCACTGACCAATTAAATTAAATTAAAGCACTGTAAATTTATTTTAATTCTAAATTGAAAAACCAAACAGGTTTGGAGAATGTATCCGTACCTAATTAAGATTTTAACCTGCTCCAAAACTCTATCTCTAAAAATAGACAGTAAATGAGGAAAATTAAGAATTTGCGACATACTTAAATCATTTAAAAGAAAAATTACGGTGAAACTGTTATTTGTAAAGAAGAAAAAGCGATTCACATTGTGCGGAGACAATCTCTAAATAAATACATTTCTACATATCTTCAAATCTCAAAACAATAAAGAATATAGTAATATTCATGTTCAAAGTATCAAAATTAGTATTCAGTGCAATCAGTCAGTTGCTACTCATGTTTTGACACTCTAAAACTAATTTTGTAACAGCAACGATAATGCTGTAACAGCAATGTCAAATCAAACGTTTTGTAACAGCAACGTCAAAATCAAGTCAAAGGACTGCAAAAATGTTAACTGATTTCGCAACTCTCTATAACATACTTACAGTAGTGCAATATACATACAGTGAGTGCAGTTAAGAGTATATGAAACTTTACACCTCATTAGATGTAAAGTTTTACAAATTCTTAACTACGTTTACATAACTTAATGCTTCTTGAACATGAAAGAAATAATGACATAGCAGGCTTTATGAAAACTGCTTAACTGTTAGTAAAATTAAAAATAAAACTTTCCCCAAACAACGATGTCCCATTATACCATGAACAGACGCAGATATGAGAAAGTTTCTTAAAAAATGTTTCATGAATGGTACTTTTCCTAAAGCTTGTGTGCTCTTTCAACGTAAAATGCACCCAGGAAATACCAAAAGTAATAACCTGAAAATTTGTATGATCCATAGAATAGTTTTACATTTTTAAAATACTTTAAAAAGAAAGTTAAGGATAAAAATGCAGACTTTTGTACTTAAATAAAATCTAAGTACTGTTACTTCAACTCCAACTCTCGCTGTATGCCGTGATTAGCACGAAGATTTTGTGTTGTGTTCCGGCTGTCTTAACTTCTGGTTAGAACAGCAAGCGCTTCAAGTAAAATTATTACCGAACAGTAGATCCAGAAGGAGAGAATGGAGGATGGTAGAAAGTCATGACTACTTTGTCACGAGTGCAGCTGTTGACATCGCAACTGGTTGAGTAGCATTTCATATAGTTGTGATGAAAGTTACAAATTGGTACAAATAAAAGATAAAATAAAGCAAAATCAATAATTTAATAAATACGTCAGCATGAGTAAAAATACGTCATCATGAGTAAAAATGGGAATTCAGTGTTCAAAGTCCAGTAAAAACAGGGTAACAAGTCACAAATGTTGAGATTGTCATATGATGCATGTGGGCAGTCTCTTTGCAATAAGAATAAAAAACATACGGGGTCCTACTAATTTTAAAACAATTAATATGGCATATCAGTGATAGAAATCATAAAAAGTCTTGATTATACATATTTATAGCACACAGTCCAGTAGTAATCTACAAGCGTGCAATATACAAGGCTGGTGGTCACGTCGGTCACATGGGAGGTCACCCACCCAACTGTTTATAATGGTGATCAGACAAAAGCCCACTGAACGAAAGCGTACGCGACAAAAGCCCACGAAAAAGACATCGCTGGGATAATTGCCCACGCGACTAATGCCCACACCGATGAAAGCGCACACTGATAAAAGCACACACAGATAAAAGTTCACATTGATAAAAGCCCACATAGATAAAAGCGCACGCTGATAAAAGCCCACAATGACAAAAACCCAAACCCATATATATGCTACGTTAAAAATATTTTCTCCCTTTTTAATTCACCTGCGCAAAGCAGATTCATGAATAAAAATAAAATAAAAAATAAATTAAATTAGTAACAAATAATTGAAAAATAAATTTAAGTAGCAGAACACATTTCATTTTGGGCTCCGGCTGAATTACATATGTATCCTATATGTATATAGAACAGAGAGTCAATCAAAATAATTCAATTCAATTCAAGAGAATCATTGTAATTAAAAACATATACATGTATGTGTAACTTTGTATTTACGCGACAAATGGAATTGCCCACGTATAAGTGTGACAAAAAAGGGAGGTGAAAGGGAATACTGGCCACACTGCTTCTTTTAATTCTTTAAAATTATAAGGAGTATAAAATGTATGTAAATTTTCATCATATACAGAGAATAATTTATGAATAATTTAACACTGCAGAAAATTTTGCATATAATGAATTTAATATGGAGAATTAAAGCCGAACTTTCATTTCAACGAAAAAAAAAAAAGTACCGTATTCTATTATGATTAAGAAAGCATTTGTGTGCGCTATCACAAATACTGTTTTAATGGTGAATTTAAAAGCACGGTTTCAAATAATCTAGTTAAATTTTGACAACTTGGATTTTACATAAATTAATTTCATTCCCACTTGAAATTTCATTTTTAATCATAATAATTATTACTTGTAAAATTTTTCAGGAAGTCATAACTATTTTGGATTTCCTGAAAAAGTGTGCTGTTTTTAAGTGGGCAATCGTTCTATGGGCTTTTGTCATGCAGTTTTCTAACTGGCTATTCAGGCGGGAAACCATTGCGTTCCTTTTCTTTTGCCCCCAGCTGAGTGAAAAAGCAGTTCAAGAGAGGAAAGCCTTACAACACTTTGCGGGCCGCTGTCACGCTGGCTTTGACTTTCTGCTCGACAATAGTTAACGGCCGCTGTCACGTACGCGTGACTTATTTTCGCCAACAACGATGCTTCACATCGACGTTTGTACAGATAGACATACTATAGCAAAACATTTGACGATCAGGAAACGTTGGTTTCAACTGTTTTCCTCTCCCAATTCACCATACTGTCTTATTATTGAAATCTTTTTTCGTGGACGCTTGTTGTAGTTTGAGACTGTCTTTCGCTGCCTTCAAATATCGGAAACTTACGTTAGATTTAAAGATATCCTTCAAAATGCTCTTCGATGACGATGATCTGTTATCAAAAGAGGATAATTGCTCTGATAGTGAAAGTGATTCGGACAGTGGGAGCGATATAATTGTGAGACGATTCAAAAATAAAGGAAGACAAATAATTAGTGAATCTGAAAGCGATGAAGAGAATTCTGTGGCAAATGATTGGTCAGAAGTTGATTTTAAACCTAACTTTCATGCTTGCCTGGAACGCTTTTGGGTTACAGGTACCATACACCCCAGATATATTATCAACTGTGGAATTGTTCATTGGGGAAGATTTATTTAATTTGTTTGCCACACAAACAAACTTGTATCATAATCAGTAGAATAATGATAACAACAATGAATCAAAAAGAATAAAACTTGGATTGATACAAATGTTGTAGAAATGAAAAAACTTTTGGGGTTTGTTATCCTAATGGAAATAGTAAGAAAACCAGAACAAGACGATTATTGCTCTACTCACCCTGGATTACATACACCTATTTTTGGGAATACTATGCCAAGGAACCGATTTCGGCAGTTATGGAAGTATTGGCACTTCAGTAATAATGAGTATTGCCAAGAAAGGCTTGATAAAATAAAACCAGTTTACTAGTACCGGTAGAAAAGTTTTAAAAAAATTTATAAACCCGAGAAAGAATTATCGCTGGATGAAGGTATCATTCCATGGAGGGGCATGCTATCTTTTCATACATATAATTCTACGAAAATTATAAAATATGGAATTTTAGTCCGTATGGTGTGTGAAGCGACATCTGTTTATATATGCAATTTGGAAATATATTGCGTGCAAGGAAAATCGCTAATTGCAACAATATTGTCCGATTACAATAGTGTAAAGGTTGCAGAGGAGTTACTAAAGCATAAAACAAACATCTGTGGCACAATTAGAGTAAACAGAGGAGTGCCAAATTGTTTAAAATCTTCTACATTGAAAAATAAGTCAATGGAATTTCGTAGAAAAAGGAAAATTATGGTACAAAAATGGAATTCGGCCAAAAAATTGATAATGATGATTTCTACGATAACTTCAGCAGACATGGTCGAATGTGTGAGTAAAAGAACCAAAAAGAAGTGCATTAAACCAATT